GAGCAGATAGATGCCCAATGACTATTAAGGTATTTCCACAGACTAAGTGCCAGTGTGTTAATCTCAGATAAAGGCTCAAGCTAATGCTGTACACCCATCACATGGTTTACCAATGGTAGCTTTCTGCAGTCAACCACAAATAATGGTCTCTTAGGATGAAATTGTATTCCAAGAAAGGAGTCAAAGCCAACAGGAGAGAAATGTCAGGTAAAAATAGACAGGGCATGTTTGGCAGTAAGAAAATACAAACTTGTAATCTGTACATTTAAGTGCTAAACTAATTGCAACAGGTATGGCCTGATTCCTTCTTAAAAAATTAGCGATTGAATCAGCCAGTTCACTTTTGATAAACTTTTTACATTAATGACTGAAATTAACAATTAACACTGTCAAGGGCAACTGAGAGCATGTCTCATGCATCGCACCCAGTGACCTATTAGCCAGTGAAAATAGCCTCCAGATTGAAGCAAACACTTAGCTTCTGTGCAGACAAAGCCTTATAAACAAATGAAACAAAAAGGCTGGAGCTATGAGCGAAAGTTTTCCTATTGTTGTGATGAACAGATTGTATTATTTTGCATAGCATTGCCACTTGTACTATCACCAGCATTACTCCAAGTAAGTGTTTCATGCTCAGTTTTTTGTCACATAGTCTTTCAGTTCCTCTGAGGAGTTAATTATGTGTATGTTTGCAATTACATTTTTTTAATCTAAGAAATAAAAATCTGAACAGATGGGAAAGGATTAGGTGATTGACTCTGAGTGTCAGACAGCATGGAAGTGAGCTGTTTGCTAACACAAACAGATTTATCTCCCCTGTTCTTCTGGCACAATCAATGATTGCCACTGTGTTTGGCATTCTAACTTAAGTCCATGAGTACCGTGGTGATAGTGATGCTCAGGAACCAGAAATACATTGCCCCTGCTACCCACAGGGTATTACATACAGTCCCATGCTTCATTATCTCAACAAAGTCAGTTAATTTCTATTCCTCGCTTAATTCCTCTTTGCTGTAGGGAGAACAGGAGAAGGACAGTGAACATATACCAGACCATTAACAGTAAATAAATTTGGAGAAATAAACTCATATCACTTTATGGAGAAGTAAAAGAGGAAGGGTGACCTTTAATATTATGAAGTGGTTGATTAGGGTAGAAAGAAAATGTGTCCATTTTTAAGGGAGACCAAAACTAGGGCTCATTATTCCATTAATCTGTGACCATCTTATTTTAGACAATTCTGGGAGAATGATAAGAAATTAGAACGCCTATCATATGAAATTGTTGAGGTGAGTAGGAAGGTGTATTTAATGGAAAAAGCCATGAGGGAGAAAGGTCACAAAGTAATCAAAGAAGCTTCATTTCAAGAAACTCTGCAAGTTTAAAAATCAGCTGAGGCATGGTGTACCTTGTGAGCAGTTGCATCTTATAGGCTAGGAAGGTCATTGATACAATGTCCGGTTGGCATTAAGATAACTCATCCCAGCCCAGTGGATGATAGTGAACTACAATTAACACCACTGCTTTTGGATTAAGGAGCTGGGGAGCTCATGGATACCTCTTCCCACCATCACTGGAATCTGCATGTGTATTAGTGGTGAATGGTGACGGGATCAAATTTGATCATTATGCCCACACACCCTGTGACCAACCAGCATCTGCAGTTCCTACTATCTCTAGCCTGTGAGAATCCATTGTTTTCCTTCATGACTGAAGAATGAGTGAGGAATTTCAGAGTAGGGAGATGCTAATTTAAAATACACCAAAACGAATGAGTGCTTCTGAGAGAGATGGTTGGAAGAGGATACGGCAATGCCTTTTTACCATTTACAAAGCTGATCTGGAATATGATAGTACACTTATCATTCACCAAATTGTGTGCAGTAAACAACAATAACAACACGCGTTTATATACTGCCTATAGCATAAGTAAACGTGTTCTGGTGTTTAAGAAGAGCATTATCAATAAAAACATTTTACAATGAATCAAACAAAGAAATATCAGGATAGCTGACTAAAAGCTTAATCAAATAGGTAGGTTTTAAGGAACATCTTACAGAAGAGGGGTGTAGAGAGGTTGTGGGAAGGAATTCCAGTGCTTATAATCAAGGCAGCTGAAAGAAGGCTATCAATGTGGAGCAATTCAAATCAGGGATGTAAAACAGCCTAAAATGTAAAGGGCGCAGAAATCTTGGAGAGCTGCAATGCTGGACAAGGTTACACAAATAGCAATGGGCAAGGCAATGAGGCAGTTTAAATACAAAGAGGAGAATTTTAAAATTCAGATATTGTCAATCTAGGAGACAGTAAATCAAAAGTTCAAAAACATGCAAGACAACGTAAATACAGTGTGGAGCTGGAGGAACACAGCAGGCCAGAATGCATCAGAGGAGCAGGAAAGTTGACGTTTCAGATTTACACCCTTCATTGGGATTACTGCCTGACCTGCTGTGTTCCTCCAGCTCCACATTGTATTGACTCTGACTCCAGCATGATAGATGGATAGATAGATAGAATTCCTACAGTATGGAAACAGGCCTTTTGACTCAACAAGTCCACACCGCCCCTCAGAGCATCCCACCCAGACTCATCCCCCTATAATCCACCTAATCTACACATCCTTGAACACTATGGGCAATTTAGCATGGCCAATCCACCTACCCCACACATCTTTGGACTGTGGGAGGAAACCAAAGCACCTGGAAGAAACTCATGCAGAAACGGGGAGAATGTGCAAACTCCACACAGACAGTCGCCAAGGGTGGAATCAAATCCAGGTTTCTGGCACTGTGAGGCAGCAGTGCTAACCACTGAGCCACCATGCTGCCCTCAGCCACGGTGCTGCCCTCTGCAGTTCTTGCTAGGTATCCCCACTCTTGATACATTCCCCTTCTCCAACTGACCAGTGTATATTATCTACAGGATATGAATCTATTGTAACAGTACCTTCTACTGTTCTTTCAGCCACTGGGAAGGATAAGACCAGCAACATCATGGGAATGCTGTCCCCTCCTAGTCACACACCATCGGATTTAGGCATTTGCCATTTTCCTTCATCATCACTTGGTAAAAATCCTGTAGTTCCCTCTACCTAACACCTTTATGAAAGTACTTTGACACAGACTGCAGTGGTTGAAGAACATCTGCCACTACCTTTTCACAGCAACTAGTACTGGATAATAAATGTTAGTTGTGCCAGCTATGTTCTCATCCCAAGAACAAGAATTAAAGGCTCTAAAAGCTCAAATTGTCAACAAATAAAACATCTGTTCCATTGTCATATTTCATTGTTTATTAATTTGTTGTATCATTATTGTTCTAAGTTAGGCTGTTACAGCCAACTATTGCAAAATGTTTGGTAGAAGTAGTTTGGTAAGCAAAATTGATTAATAGTTAATGTGAAATGGTGCACCTACACCTATAATGGGACTCTTGGGTTATATTCCTTGGTCCAACTCATCTATGCCAACCATATATCCTATATAAATCTAGTCCCATTTGCCAGCATTTGGCCCATATCCCTCTAAACCCTTCCTATTCATGTATCCACTCAGATGCCTTTTAAATGTTGGTATTCCACTAGCCTCCACAACTTCCTCTGGGAGCTCGTTCCATGCACACACCACCCTCTGTATGAAAAATATTGCCCCTTTGGTCTCTTTTATATCTTTCCCCTCCCACCTTAAACCTATGCCCTCTAGATTTGGACTCTCCCACGCAGGGAAAAGACTTTGCTTATTTACCCTATCCATGCCCTTCATGATTTTTATAAACCACTATAAGGTCACCCCTCAGCCTCCGACACTCCCGGGAAAATAGCTCCAGCCTATTCAGCCTATCCTTCTAGCTCAAACCCTCCAACCCTGGCAATATCCTTGTAAGTCGTTTCTGAACCTTTTCTACTTCCACAATATCCGTCCTAATTGAGAGATTAAAAATAATTGACAGGATAGAAATTGAATGATTCTTCTTGAGTCTTAATTTGGAAATCTCGAATAAGGGGAAACAATATCTTATTGTTTGAACTAAACAAGGTAAACACCAATCCTGAAAAAACCTCTTCAAAGGGTTTTGGCAGTGTTGAACACTACCTCAGAACATACTTGATGCAGCATCAATTGAGAAACTCAAAAAGCAAATAAATACTTAATTAAAAAATAAATTTTCCACCCCCCAGCTGTGCAATATCTTCTGTCCTTAAAATTCAACAAGATTTCTCCATTCTCCAATTCTGACCTCTTTCACATTCCCAATTCTCATCGTTTCATTATTGGCAACTATGCTTGGGCCCTAAACTCGGAAAGTCTTCCCCTAAGCCTCAGCACCTTTAACCCTCCAACCTCCTTTAGGTTATTCCTTAAAACCTGGCTCCTTTACCAAGCTATTGGTCACCTGTCTGAATATCCCCTTATGTGGGTTTCCTCATAGAATCCCTATAGTGTGGAAACAGGCCATCTGGCCCAACAAGTCCACACCACCCCTCTGAAGAGCATCCCAGCCAGACCCACTCCCCTACTCCTGCATTTCCCCATGTCTAGCCCATCCACTCTAAACATCCCTGGACACTCTGGGCAATTTAGCGTGGCCAGTCCACCTATCCTGCACATCTTTGGACTATGGAAGGAAACTGGAACACCTAGAGGGGATCCACGCCAACACAGGGAGGACGTGCACACTCCACACTGACAGTCACCTAAGGGTGGAATCAAACCCAGGTCCTTGGCACTGTCAGGCAGCAGTGCTAACCACTGAGCCACCGTTCTGTCACATTTTGTCTGACAGTTCTCTGATGAAACACATTAGGATGTTTTTACTCTCGTTAAAAGCTTGATCTAGTTTTATTTCTGTTTTAGGTGATATTGAGGTGGGGTGAGGTGTAGGATTGTGGATAAAGCAATGTCATATACGACTCAATGGACCACATGCTGAACTGCTATTCCTGACAACAGGTTATCAGTGGTCATTGTTAATGTACCAGTTGACTGTATGTATTTTTGCAGGGTTCCAGTTCTCTCCAGAAGTGGAGAAGGAATCTTCTGCTCCACCCAATCAAAGAACAGAAAATGGTTACGCGGCATTTTGTAATATTGCACTTGCTTTGCCGCCAGACAACTATCGCCCTTTTATGATTTTGGATGAATTAGAAAAGGTAAGATCTTCAAACTGATTACCTTTTCAACTCATTAAATAAGATATGCAAAATACTGGAAACCTAGAATAAAAACAGAAAGTGTTGCAAATACTCAGGAGGTCTGGCATTGTATGTGAAAGGAGGAACAGAGTTACATGAATCAAATATGACTTCATCAGAATTGGAAAGAATTCAAAAGAAAAGTCATATTTAACTCCAAATGATAACTCTGTTCCTCTCTTCATACAAAATGTCTTTTAAAAGGGATTCAGTACACAAGCCAATAGACTGACCCATGATGTTGTTTGATAAAGCTGTCTTACTCCAAGAGGAGATGGAAACAGAGTTACGAGATGCTGCCATAGAGTTGACATTTTCTGTGGTCATGTGCAGACAGATTGGAGAGAGATTCATGCTTACATGCATACAGCCACATTTCCAAAATGATTCCCTACTCCCCTATCTGCAGGGCTGGTGAGATATTTCAGTCGACTGGCATTTGCAAGGAGGATCAAAGCAGCTCTTGGCCAGCAAAGTAGAGCAGATAGTGAGCTCTGTCCTTGTTAATTGTTAACTGCCTGACTGGCTGAGAGTTAACTGAATTTAGAAGGATTAATATTTATTCAATTTTGTATTTTCTAAATTTTTTTTGAGATGCACGTTGCAGATTCCACCATAAACCCAGACCACTGACCTTTCCCAGCAGAGTCCCTTAGCACTCCAGTACTGCAACAACTCACTCCTTTATCCCTTCCTTTTTAGAGCAAATGTCTCCATAGAGCAGCCAACTCACAATGCAGGATTCCCGGGGCAGGGCAGAGTTTTCTGCACCAATTAGATACTATATCAGAAAAATAAGTTTAACAATCACATTTTGCTGATGATTACTATGATTAACAACCCGTATGGGTTTGGAAATTTCCTGATGAACTATTACAAGGTGTGACTCAGTGGCTAAAGGAGTTAATGGACTTGAATTTATATGGTCTCCTTCATGTCAAGCAATTTACAGCCAGTGAATCCAGCCACTGTTGTAATGTAGCAAAATGCAGCAACAAATTTGTGCACAACAAGATCCCACAACAATGTGATAATGATCAGCTAATCCATTTTATTCTCAGTAATGTTGGTGAAGGATAAGTATTGCCGGAACACAGGAGAGAATTCCCCTGCTATTCATCAAAATAGTTCCATGGGACCCTTCACATCGCCTGAGAGAGAATTGATGTCTCATATCAAAGATTGCAGCTCCAACAGTCAGCCCAGAATTTAGTGCTTAAGTCTTTGGAGTAGAACTCCACAATCTTCACACTCAGAAGCTGGGGTGCTACTCACTAAATCAGGGGTGATATCAACCAGCTAGAACCTAGGCTTCTCCTTTTGTGACTCTCATGGCACATTATCTCAGTGGTCAGGGTTGGTTTAGCTCAGTTGGCTGGCTGGTTGGGTTGCCAAGCAATGTGATGCCAACAGCATGGGTTTAATCCCCACACCAGCTGAGGTTACCATGAAGGACTGTCCTTCTCAACCTCACCCCTTGTCTGATGTATGGTGGCCCTCAGGTTAAATCATCACCAGTTGACTCTATCTCCTGTGGTCTGGCAACTTGATTGGCTCAGTGGCTAGCACTGATGCCTCACAGCATCAGGGACCCAGGTTCAATCCCAGCCTTGGATGACTGCTTGTTGCTCTAGTTTCCTCCCACAGTACAAAGATGTGCATGTTAGGTGGATTAGCCATGGGGATAGGGTGAAATGCTGTTTGGAGGGTCAGTGCAGACGTGATGGGCCAATTGGCCTCTTTCTGCACAGTGGGGATCTTATGATTGTCATAATAACCTAGATCAAAACAATAGAAACGTAAGGCTGAGATGAGATACCTGAATGTGAAGAGAGTTGTATAAAGTTAAAAGACCCAGCACAAATAATTGGGTTCAATGGGATGTTTCTGAGCTGTATAAACTCTAAAGTGTAATATTTTTCAGAGTGCTAGGGTCGAACTCCTGTGGGACAATATAGGTTGGGTGTCATAAACTGGACAATAACTGTACTTAAATAAAAAGTGCTTTCATACTTTTATGTCAAAGCTTTAATTCAGCTAACTGTAAAACTCTGACCAACTGATTACTAGCTCCCCATAATATATCCATCATCTGTTCCATCATTCCATTAGTTCTCAGGTAGTCATTCAGATCATATTAGATGATAACGGATTTCGTTTCCCTTTAAAATATTAGTTTTAAAAATAAATCTATGTGTAAGAGAAAACAAAGCAAAGTATAGAAAATGACAACATATCATATTCCTTTCTTTCTTTAAAGTTCTAAGCATGTCAAAAACAGTTTTTTATAGCTTGCTGCTTTCTTTGTAAAATAATTAGATAGCTGACTGGTGTTATCCACCCATTTGAATTTGGAGATTTCTCCATTTTCAAGCAACTGTTTTAAAACTACAATATTGATTCTCAGTCTTTTATTGTTCAGACATTTCATTGGGTGTATTTTATCCCATAGTGACTTATCAATGTAGCACGCAATAAGTATTGATGCTGACTCCCTTTTTAGAATTTCATCCAATTTTTTAATTCAGAAAAACGTCATATTGCTGCCTCATCAAGAGTGAGAATTTCTGCTGCTAAAGTACTCTTTTCAACTCTTGTGATCTTTTGAGCACCCAAGCTAAAAAATTATGCACCTGTCATGTTTCTTGCTTTTCTGTACTGCTGCTCCTCGAGACCCCTTTCTTCATGAAGAGAATTTTTCAATAAGTTTGTAATCACTTTCTAGGGGTCTGTTCACTCCCAAACCCACTGTTTGAGCTTACACTGCATATTAGAGTCAGAGTCAGACAGCATGGAAATAGACCCTTTGGTCCAATTCGTCCATGCCGACCAAGTTTCCCATAGTGAGGCATGCAAGAAAGAATTTCTTATAAGTAAAATATTTTCAGCCCATTGGTACCTCAACTGTAATGTACTTTTGTAGACCCCACATATCACCATCAATTCTGCAAAAGGAAATTCTGTAACTCTATTATCTATAGGGCTCAATATTTTCCAAATACTTCCCTTAACTTCTCCAGATCTGTGTAAATTCGAAAGTATTATTCCAAACATCCTCCACAAATCTTCTCCAAACGCATTCTTCGTTTTGGAGTCCTTGTCTTCCATCTTTGTACATTTATTGCTTGTCCCTAGTTGCCATTCAGAAGGTGGTGGTGAGCTGCCTTCTTGAACCACTGCAGTCCATGTGCTGTAGGTTGACCCCTTCGGGAGGAAATCCAGGATTTTGACCCAGTGAAGGATCGGCCATATATTTCCAAGTCAGGATAGTGAGTGGCTTGAAGGGGACTTTGCAGGTGGTGGTGTTGCCATGTATCTACTGCCCTTGTCCTTCTACATGGAAATGGTCATGGTTTTGGATGGTGCTATCTCAGGATCTTTGGTGAATTTCTGCAATGCATCTTGTAAATAGTATACTGTATGGCTACTGAACATCAGTAATGGAAGGAGTGGTTGCTTTTGGATGTGGTGCCAATCAAGCGGGCTACTTTGACCTGGATGGTATCGAGCTTCTTGAGTGCTGTTGGAGCTGCACCCATCCAGGAAAGTGAGGAGTATTCCATCACATTCTTGACTACTGCCTTGTAGATGGTTGACAGGCTTTGGGAAGTCAGGAGGTGAGTTACTCGCTGTAGTATTCCTAGCTTCTGACCTGCTGTTGTAGCCATTATGGTTATGTGGTGAGTCTGGTGTGGTCAATGGTGCCACAGGGATGTTAATAATGGAGATTCAGTGATAGTAACACCATTGAATATCAAGGGGCGGTGGTTAGATTGTCTCTAATTGGTGATAGTCATTGGCTGGCATTTGTGTGGTACGAATGTTACTGGTTACTTATTAGTCAAAGTCTGGATATTATCCAGGTCTTGTTGGCTTGAACATGGACTCTTCCAGAATCACAGGAGTCGCAAATGGTGTTGAACATTGTGCAATCATTGGCAAACATCCTCATTTCTGACCTTATGATGGAGGGAAGGTCATTCATGAAGCAGCTGAAGATGGTTGGGCCTAGGACACTACCCTGAGGAATTCCTGCAGAGATGCCCTGGAGCCGAGATGACTGACCTCCAACACACAACCATCTTCCTATGTGCCAGGAATGACTTCAACTGGCAGAGAGTTTGCCCCCTGATGCCCATTGGTTTGAAGGTGGCCTTGATGTCAAGGGCTGTCACTCTCACTCTCACCTCTGGAACTCAGCTCTTTTATCCATATTTGAATGAAGGAGGTCAGTAGCTGAGTGGCCCTGGTAGAATTCAAACTGGGTGTCACTGAGCAATTATTACTGAGCAGGTGTTGCTTGATATCACTGTTAATGACATCTTCCATTCCATTACTGATAATCGAGAGTAGTCTGATGGAGCAGTAATCGGCCAGGTTGAATTTGTTCTGCTTTTTGTGTACAAGTAATACCTGGGCAATTTTGCACAATTCTGAACCACATTCTTCACATTCCACATTCTTCTGTTCTGAAGAAAGCTCACTGGACTTGAAACATTAACTCTGATTTCTCTCCACAGATGCTGCCTGCTGAATTTTTCCAGCAATTTCTGTTTTTGTTTCTGATTTCCAGCATCCTCAGTTCCTTAGGTTTTTTTATAAAAATTTTCCACATTGTCAGTTCGGCTAGATGCCAGTGTTGTAACTGTACTCAAAGAGCTTGTCTTGGGGAGCAGCAAGTTCTGGAGCATGAGTCTTCAGTACTATTGCCAGAATGTTATCAAGGCCCACGGCCTTTATAGTATCCACAGCCTTCAACTGTTTCTTGATATAACCTGGAATGAATTGAATTGGCTGAAGACTACTGTCTGTAATACTTGGGACCACTGGAGGAGGCCGAGATGGATCATCCACTCAGCACTTCTGGCTGAAGATTTCTGCGAAAGCTTCAGCCTTTTTTTTGCACTGACGTGTTGGGCTCTTCCACATTGAGGATGGAGATACTTATGGAGCCTCCT